ACACAGAAGAGCTTCACCATCTTTCCTCGAGGCGGCTGGAGAGAATTTCCGTTCGTATTTAAGCGGATTGAAGTCTTGTCACATAGACTGGCAGCTGGCGATACTCCTCCTTTTGCACATAATCCCAATGATGTTATTGTGAGTTCTACTCAAAATTTCCAAAAGGCGCCGATTCAATCGACCCTGGCAAATGGCCGTACAATCACCAAACCTATGCTAAATAATAGAAATATGTTTTACGATAATTAAATTATCAGTGGCTTCCCCAACATTGCTTCACAAGAGAAGTTCACGGCAACGACAAGGATACCCACTCCGCCACCATATTAAGCACGTACTCCCCCACTTAGAAGATCACCACGGCTGCCTGCGTCATCGTCAAACCCGGACAGGGGTATGACTACAAGAAGATCGCCAACGACAACGTCAGTGCCGACCCCGCCAGCTAGAAGCTGGCTCATGCGAGTACTGTAGTTGGAGTTACTACACTAGTTGTAATGCTGTAAATAACCAACCAACAAGGGAAGGCAATGTCGACGAGTACGCCAACACCGTCAGCGTCACCAACAAGGAAATCCTCGAGAATCCAGGGCTCCAACGAAAGATCCAGTGCCAACAAAATACTGACACCACCGAGAACTCCAAGACCCGCGAGAGATCACTAACCAACTAGAGCTCCAGTGCCACCAAGGTATACAACTCCAACGGAATCTACCACTCCAAGGTGAACGAGACTACCAGCGCCCCAAAACGAACAAGCCCTAACTACAACAGTGACGAGAATTCTAGCGAACCGAGAGCACTGTCACGAACGAAAACTGCAACCCAAACAAGAACTTCAACTCCAACGAGAGCTCCGATGCCAGTAAGAACACCAGGGTACCTGCAAATAAATGTTAATTCAACCATAAACAACCACTAGTATAGTTGCCGTACGTTTCCTTTCTGGTAGGCACTCCAATAGTGAACTCATCAGTGATAGGTTATAAGTTAGATAGTTCTGACCAATCGTTACTGCTTGGTGATTGTTCGGCTATTCAGTTGATGGTGGCAAATAGACCCGATTTTGTAAATTTGGGCGGAATCGACAATATGTGGGGTGCTTGGAGGTTGTTGCTGGTCGAGGTTTTCGTGGAAGGCCGTAGAGGAAGAAAAAAAACGGAGGAAGGAGAGGAGTCTTGCGTTGGCGGTAAAAGTAATTGTGATTGAATAGCTTAGTTGTCGGAAGTACATGTTCCATTCATTTGGTAGTACCCGTAGTAACAGATCGAACAGTTCTAGGAGGTTTGTGTCTACTACATAGTACGTGACTTTAGCCTTATTGTACAGATTATTGTAGTTAAGTGTCAGTTGTTAGGCCACAGCCTCTCTGTGTCCAAATGGTGAAGTTCTCTTATCCCATATGGTACTGTAATCAGTACAATAATTTTGAAAGAGGACGAGGACTGTCCTA